CCAGCAGCCTCAGCGTCCTCAGCAGCCCCAGAGCCTCCTCGGCCACGGGGCTTGGGGCTGCTGGGAGCTGCCCCCCCTGCAGGATGTGTCTCTGCTCCTCTGACCCCAGTGGCTCCAGCCCTGCCACGGTTGTGGGGCTTGGGGTGGCTGGGTGCTAGGCCCCACTGCAGGCTGTGTCTCTGCTCCTCTGACCCCAGCGCCGAGGCAGGGCTTGGGGCGGCTGGGTGCAGGGACCCCTGAGGGCTGTGTTTCTGTTCCTCCAACCCCAGCGCTGAGGCGGGGCTTGGGGCGGCTGGGTGCCGGCCCCCCTGCGAGCTGTGTCTCTACTACTCTGACCCCAGTGGCCCCAGCGCCTCCTGGGCCATGGGGCTTGGGGTTGCTGGTGCCCGCGCCCCTGTGGGCTGTGTCTCTGCTCCTCCAACCCCACCGCCGAGGCGGGTTTGGGGCTGCTGGGTGCTGGCCCCCCTGCGGGCTGTGTCTCTGCTCCTCCATCCCCCCGGCAGCACTGACCAAGCAGGCCTAGAGGCCCTCCACCAGTGGGTTGGGGCAGAACGCCTGCGTTGTCACCAGGCTTCGCACTGCCACTTGAAGCCTATGTATGCAAATTAGCCACCATCTTTGTTGGCGGCTAATTTGCATATCACACTGATTAGCCAATGGGATCCTATCTAATAATAGAGAAACATGGTAATTAACCGTAACTTTGCTACCCTTCCCATTGGCTAATCAGCAGGATATGCAAAATAACTGCCAACAAAGATGGCGGCCGGCAGCCACGCAGCTGAAGCGAGCAGGAGGCTTGCTCCAGTGATGGAGGAAGCCAAGGTTCCCTGCCTGCCTCAGCCCAGCGCTGAGCTCTGGATGCAACAATGTTGCAATTATAGAAGCTAAGCAAACTCCAGATACCTGCTTTCAGCCAGCATCGGGCTCAGAGCTTAGAGTGCCAGTGATGGTAACAGAGTTTCAATTATAGAAGCTAAACAAACTCAGATACCTGCTTTCAGCCAGCCGCGGCCTCAGAGCTGGAGCCGGCTCTCAGCTCCAGTGACAGCTATAGAAGGTAAATAAATCCCAGAAAAAAAGAAAAAAAACCCAGAGGCCTGGAGCTTCAGTCACCTGCCAGCCTGAAAACAGCCCTCATCCCCTCACCCAGACTGGCCGAGCACCCCCGTGGGGACCCCCACCCTGAAGGGGGTGTGGCCAGCTGCAATAGCCATCAGCCTGTCATCCAGGCTGTCCAGGCACTCCAGTGGGGACCCCCACCCTGAAGGGGGTGTGACCAGCTGCAAACAGCCATCAGCCCCTCACCCAGGCTGGCCAGGCACCCAAGCGGGACCCCCACCCTGATCCGGAACACCCTTCGGAGCAAACCAGCCGGCCCCCTCCCGTGCACCAGGTCTCAATCCTATATAGTAAAAGGGTAATATGCAAACTGACCCTAACAGCAGAAAGACTGGGAATGACTGGTCACTATGACACACACTGACCACCAGGGGGCAGATGCTCAATGCAGGAGCTGCCCTCTGGTGGTCAGTGTGCTCTCACAGCGGGGAGCCCTGCTCAGCCACAAGCCAGGCTGACGGCTGCCAGTAGAGCAGTGTGGTGGGAGCCTCTCCTGCTTCCTCAGCAGCGCTCAGGATGTCTGACTGCAGCTTAGGTCTGCTCCCCGCTGGCAAGTGGATATCCCCCGAGGGCTGCCGGGCTGCCAGAGGGATGTCTGACTGCCAGCTTAGGTCCAATCCCCCAGGGAGCGGGCCTAAGCCAGCAGGTGGTCATCCCCCGAGGGGTCCCAGACTGCAAGAGGGCACAGGCCTGGCTGAGGGACCACCCCTGAGTGCACACATTTTTGTGCACCGGGCCTCTAATCCTATCTAACAAAAGAGAAACATGGTAATTAGCGTATGACCGCTACCCTTCCCATTGGCTAATCAGGGCGATATGCAAATTAACTGCCAGCCAAGATGGCGGCCGGCAGCCAGGCAGCTTAAACTGAACATGAGGCTTGCTTGCTTCAGTGACGGAGGAAACCAGCGTTCCCCGCCTGCCTTGCCGGCCTCTGAGCTTGCAGTTTAAGAAACATTGTAACAAATATAGAAGCTAAACAAAACCCCAGAAACCAGCTTTCAGACAGCCGGGATCTCAGAGCTGGAGTTGATACAGAGTTTCGATTATAGAACCCAAACAAACGAGATACCTGCTTTCAGCAGCTGAAGCCTTAGAGCTGGAGCCAGAGCTAAAGCTGGCCCAGAATAAAAAAAAAAAAAGAAAAACAGGAGCAGTTGGGAGCTTCAGTCCCAGCATGAAAACAGCCCTCAGCCCCTCACCCAGACTGGCCAGGCACCCCAGTGGGGACCCCCACCCTGAAGGGTGTGTGACCAGCTGCAAACAGCCGCAAACAGCCATTATCCCCTCATCCAGGCTGGCCAGGCACCCCAGTGGGGACCCCCACCCTGATCTAGGACACCCTTCAGAGCAAACCAGCCAGCCCCCACCCATGCACCAGGCCTCTATTCTATATAGTAAAAGGGTAATATGCCTCCCAGCACCGGGATCAGCGGAGCCGCGAGGCCTCCCGGCACCGGGATTAGTGAGACAGGGGGCAGCGCCCAAACCCCCTGATCACCCTGCGGTCTGTGTGTGTCAGGGGGCGGGGCCACAACCTCCCTATCGGCCCTGCTCTGTTCCAGACAGGGGAAGGCACCCCAACCCCCTGATCGGCCCTGCTCTGTACCTGATAGGGGGGAGGTTCCCAACCCCCTAATCGCCCTGCAGCTCTGTGTGTGACAGGGGAAGGTGCCCCAACCCCCTGATCGCCCTGCGGCTCTGTGTGTGACAGGGTGCGGCGCCCCAACCCCCCCACCCCACGGGCCCTGGTCTGTGTGTGATGGGGTAGAGCCATAACCTCCCCATCGGCCCTGCCCTGAGTGTGAGAGTGGCGGCGCCCCAACCCCCCGATCGACCCTGTTCTGTGCGTGACGGGGGGAGCTCCCCAACCCCCTGATTGACCCCGCTCTGTGCGTGACGGGGGGAAGCTCCCCAACCTCCTGATCGGCCCTTCTCTGTGCGTGACGGGGCAGCACCCCAACCCCCTGATTGGCCCTGCTCTGTGCGTGACAGGGGGTGGCGCTGCAACCTCCCCATTGACCCTGCCTTGAGTGTGACAGGGGACGGTGCCCCAACCCCCCAATCGGCCCTACCCTGAGCGTGACTGAGGGTGGCATTGCAACCTCCCAATCCGCCCTGCTCTGTGCATGACAGGGGGCGGTGCCCCAACTCCCCAATTGGCCCTGCTCTGAGCCCGACCAGGGGCTGCACCCAGGGATTGGGCCTGCCCTCTGCCACCCGGGAGCGGGCCTAAGCCAGCAGGTTGTTATCTCCCAAGGGGTCCCAGACTGCGAGAGGGCACAGGCCAGGCTGAGGAACTCCCCCCCTCCCCCCCCAGTGCACAAATTTTTGTGCATCGGGCCTCTAGTATATATATAAAAGCCAAGTGACCAGAATAACTGGTCACTGTGACGCGCACTGCAGCAGCCAACTGGCCCGATCAACCCCGATCAACCCCTCTCAACCTCCCACAGCCCCACCCTGGATCCCCCTGACACCCCCCTCCCCTCTCCCCCAATCAGGGGTGGGCCGGCCAACCAACTGCCTGTGGCCCCCCCGCCATCCTGGCCCCATTGGCCCCCGCACATCCCCTCACTCCTGCCGGACCAGCCTGATTGGGCCCCATGGGGGCAGACGGCTGGACCTCACTTGTGCACGAATTTGTGCACCCGGCTTCTAGTCTCTTACATAAAAGGCCCATGGCCGTCATGGGGTTATGAGCAAGCAAGCAGCGGCTCTCGCGGTGGGCGGGGAGGGGCACGAGCTATGAGCGGCAGAGGGTGGGGCGCAAGCTACTAGCGTTGGAGAGCTATGGGTGGCGGAGGGCAGGGCATGAGCTACTAGTGGTGATGGGTGGGGCGGCCAGCTGAGGCAAGCGGAAGTGAGCTACTCCTGCACGATTTCGTGCGCGCTGGGCCTCTAGTTTTACACAGACAGTCCTTGGGTTACATTGGACTTTCGTGCTTATGTCGCCATCTCCCATTTCTTTATAAAAAAAAAAAAGTTTCATCATTTCATTGTATGTACATATGTGCTTTATGTTTTTTATTATTTATTCACCACAAGTAAAGGTCAGGAATTGTTATCGTTCTTTTAAATTGTTTTTACTGTTTCACTTCAATACTGCTGTGTTTGTGCTCCATGTGAGTGACGTAGGTGCTTATTTAGGTGGGTTCTGACTTACAGCGAAAATCGCGTTACGTCGTGCCGTAGGAATGGATCTCTGATGTAACCTGAGGACCTACTGTATAAGGGACTTGCGCATCCGTGGATTGTGGTATCTTAAGGGTTTCTGGAACCAATCTCCAGTGGATACTGAGGGATGACTGTTAAGTTTTGGCAGAGGCCAAAGTTATACATGAATTTTTGACTGCATGGGGTTGATGGGTTTCGGGGTCCCAACCCCTGCCTTGTTCACGGTGCACTGTATATGTGTGGTTTGTGTCCCATTCCTGTTGTGTGTTCTCTTCACTATCCTAACAACTTCCTTAATGATGGTTTTTGTTCTCCATGATTCATTTGGAAATATGTAAAGATTACAAAAAGTAATATAACTATTAGCAAATCAGCAATTTTTTCCCATTTGTGTAATTGTAGCAAAATACACATTAAATCATTTTATAAAGAAAATGTTTTATTGAAATTTATGATTAAAATACTGTTCTATTGTGGTTTTTCTAATAGTGTTCAATAAATTGATTTTCTTTGAATAGCTTTATACTTTAAGGTTTTTTAATTACTAAAAATGGCTAAAGTATTTTTAAGAGTTATATATGGAACTTTTGTATTTTAAAATGTCATACCAGGAATCCTCAAAAGAAAGGTTGTGTCACTATTTGAAGATGTGGATGTGTTTTAATTTGGGAAGACTGACTTTCATGGTCTCTCCTTCACAGATGATGACTTTGACCAATTTGATAAGCCGGGTGCAGAGCGGTCCTGGAGGAGAAGGGCTGCAGATGAGGACTGGGACAGGTATGAACACCTGCTTGTGTGTATCAGAGTCCACGCTGATTTATCTCATTCCGCCACTTGGCTCCACAGAGATCTTCTCTGAAAACAGTGTGTTGGCCCCCTGATGCTCTTTCCAGGTGGGCTGGAGGACAAGGACGGGCACTCCAGACAGAGGCTCCAGGCCTATGTTGTCTAAAGGGTGGCCAGTGGGACACTGGTTGTCTCATCTCTCTGTGTTTCTATACATTGATGGTATTGACTTGGTGAACACCCAGAGCTGTTGTTGGAGTACTTTTCTGCAAGAGTTCCTGTTGTCCACATCCTACCCAATATTTGGTAGACTTTACAGTTTTTGCCATTTTTATATTTTAAATTTGTATTTCCCTGATTCCTTGTGAAGATGAAAATACCTTTTTAGGAGTGCATGTGTGTGCGCACATACATACGCACAAGTACACACACACTGACAGTATATGGAAAGTCCCCAGTAATGATAGATGTCAGTTCAGTGTAGCGATTACTTTCGGTGAGGAGCTTGAGCACCGGCACATGGATGTTTCCTGGAAGAAGGCCACGGGACAGAGCTGGGGGGTGGAGTTCTCAAATGATGATGATTCTGTCTGTATGCATTTTGCCATTTAAATACTGTGTTGCAAATGTGAAAATGACTTTGGGTTGTAGTCAGAAAGTTTAACATAAAGATGAACAGCTCTGACTAAAGAACAACAGTGTTATAAAACAAGAACCTGATTCCTGTCGGGGAAACTGGGGAGCCCCAGAAGCTTCATAGAATACTCTACATTGGAAACTACGTCTCATACCATAGCCTTGATAATTTTATAAAGTTCATTACTCTCCAGTGACTCTCAACCTATAAAACATTACTCAGAGCTTAGAACAAATTCACCTGTAAAAGAAATGGTCTTACTGGGAAGTAGTGGTAACTGATTTTTGTTTAAAAGACTCTGATAGGAGCTGAATCAAATAGTGTATTTTAGCAGTTTACTCATCATTTGGATTTTCTTTTCTGTCAGTTATATTTTTATATCTATGTCTGTTTTTCTTTTGGGTCGTCTTTTCCTTATTGATTTTATGATTCTTTATACTTTGGGAAATTTATTTTGTGCTTGTAGAGATTTCCTCCCAGTTTGCGGCCTGTGTTTCCTTGAACAGTAAAAAGTCTTTAAATAGATTTTTATAAGTAATATAATTAAATGTCTAAATGTTTTCCTGCATGGTTTTGTTTATTCTTCTTTTTAAAATATAAAAATATATATCTGCAAGAATAGCACAAAACCCTGACATTCCCTTCTCCGGTCTGCCAAGGGTTTCTGTTTTATGAGAAAGCATGTTCCCATCATTCAGAACATAAACATGCTGACAAAAGATGGCAGATGACTGCTGGGACCTCCATGTCACATAGAGATAACTCCCTTAGTTATGATTTACTTGTATGTCATCATCAGCATGATTGTTCCGTGTTTTAATTTTTTTCAGTTTTTGCAGTTTGATGAGTGTCAAATGCTCTCAGTGGTTTTTAATTTTTCTAGTTAATGATATTGGGCATCTTTCCCTATGTTTTGTAGATTTTTAAAGGTAGAAGAAAGCACAGATACTACTTGTTATAGTATATTGTTTTACTGATTACTGAACAGGTTAAAAAAAAAGATCTCATATTGAGGTGAAAAACTAAGCTTAGAGGTCTAGTGAGAGCCACCTCCTATAGCAAAGCCTCTCTCACAGTGTTCCCTATATATTTGAAAATAAGTCTTTATTATTAGTAAAGAAAAGGGAAAGTATAGCAAATACAACGTGCAAGTACCCAAGCCTCCAAATCCTGGGTAGATTCCCAGCATGTAATGGGTTGATACATTGACGTATCTCTTCTTCTCTCCAGTGAACTTGAAGATGACTTACTTGGAGAAGATTTGCTGTCTGGCAAAAAGGTAAGAAGTAAGGAAAGATCTTTTTGAAACTAAATGGTAGTCATTTAATTACACTTAAAATATAGGAATATGTCTTCTGAAGGGGATGTGTTCCTGGAAAGTTAGGTATAGATTAAAATTTTGTGAATTGAATTTTTAAGTGCACAAAGAACTGACTGTTAATTTACTGTTAGTAAATTCTCTGATAACTATAACTCAAGCAGTAGATTCTTTAATAGTTTAGTTCAGGGGTCCTCAAACTACGGCCCACGGGCCACATGCAAATACAAATATTGTATTTGTTCCCGTTTTGTTTTTTTACTTCAAAATAAGATATGTTTAGTGTGCATAGGAATTTGTTCATAGTTTTTTTTTAAACTATAGTCCGGCCCTCCAATGGTCTGAGGGACAGTGAACTGGCCCCCTGTTTAAAAAGTTTGAGGACCCCTGTTTAGTTCCTATATTGTCCAAGGCACTCTAGCAGGTATTGAGTTTGTGAGAGTGATAACCATAAAACTACCACTTTTCTTGAAGGAACTTCATATTTGGAGTTAATATTTGGCATACTGGATCTGGAATTCACTTTTTGGGAGTATTCAGAGATAAGCTTAAAGATAAGCTTATCTTTATACACAAACATACTCAAATATACAGATATTCTCTTCTAATGTAAAATAAATACTTTGTACTCTATCAGAATCAGAGTTCAATAACATTAAAAAATAATGAAAAAATAGATATAAACCCTCATGACTGACATTTTGCCATATTTCCTTTCATTCTTATTTCATGTTTTTATACATACTTTACATATAAAATACTGTTTCTTTTAAATTTAGTGTTGTATCATTGGCATTTTCCTATTGTCACTAAATATTATTTTAAGATACTTTATAATGGTATGTAATATTTCATTGTTTGTGTATACTAAAGTGTACCTAGACATTTCTATGTGCATTGGGGTTGTTTCCAGCTAATTGTTTATGATTTTTTAAAAACAACTTTTTTTTTCTTTATTAAATCTTTATTGTTCAGATTATTACATTTGTTCCTCTTTTTTTCCCCCCATAACTCCCCTCCTCCCAGTTCCCACCCCACCCTCTGCCCTCACTCCCCACCCACTGTCCTCATCCATAGGTGCACGATTTTTGTCGCATCTCCCACACCCCTTTCCCCCCCAAGAATAGTCAGTCCATTCCCTTTCTATGTCCCTGATTCTATTATAATCACCAGTTCATTCTGTTCATCAGATTATTTATTCACTTGATTTTTAGATTCACTTGTTGATAGATGTGTCTGGTTCATAATTTGTATCTTTACCTTTTTCTTCTTTTTCCTCTTCTTAAAGGATACCTTTCAGCATTTCATATAATACTGGTTTGGTGGTGATGAACTCCTTTAGCTTTTCCTTATCTGTGAAGCTCTTTATCTGACCTTCAATTCTGAATGATAGCTTTGCTGGATAAAGTAATCTTGGTTGTAGGTTCTTGGTATTCATCACTTTGAATATTTCTTGCCACTCCCTTCTGGCCTGCAAAGTTTCTGTTGAGAAATCCGCTGATTCCCTTGTAGGTAACTGTGTTTCTTTCTCTTGCTGCTTTTAAGATTCTCTCTTTGTCTTTTGCTCTTGGCATTTTAATGATGATGTGTCTTGGTGTGGTCCTCTTTGGATTCCTTTTGTTTGGGGTTCTCTGCACTTCCTGGACTTGGAAGTCTATTTCTTTCACCAGGTAGGGGAAGTTTTCTGTCATTATTTCTTCAAATAGGTTTTCAATATCTTGCTCTCTCACTTCTTCTGGCACCCCTATAATTCGGATGTTGGTACGCTTGAAGCTGTCCCAGAGGCTCCTTACACTATCTTCCTATTTTCGGATTCTTTTTTCATTTTGCTTTTCCAGTTGGGTGTTTTTTGCTTCTTCGCATTTCAAATCTTTGACTTGATTCTTGCGATCCTCTGGTCTGCTGTTGGGAGTCTGTATAATATTCTTTATTTCAGTTAGTGTATGCTTAATTTCTAGTTGGTTCTTTATCACAACATCGAGGGGCTCATTAGATTTCTTGAGGATCTCATTAAGTTTATCAGCGGCTTCTAGACAGTTCTTGAGAGACCTTAAAATTGTGCTTTTGAGCTCTATATCCTCCATTTCTGTCATTTCTGTCCTGTTTCTTTGTCTCGGCATTTTTTTATGCTTTCTTGGGGCACCCCCTAGTGGTCTTTGTGCGCAGTCTTGTTGTAGTTAAGCCTTGATTGTTGTGGGTAATACCGGGGGTGATTTGACCTCCAGGCCAACTGGCTGTGAGAATCAGCTGTGTCTGCAGTGAGAGAACTTCTGTCCTCTGGGGAGGTGCTAATCTAGCCTTTGCCTGAGGCTATCCGGCAAATGCCTCTGCGCAGGGCTTGGGCGGGTCGGGTCGCACGGGATCAACAGGGCGGGCAGAGCGAGCAGTTATGGCTGCTCTCAGTCCCGTCCCCAGAGGCTCTGCCTCTCAGAGTACCAGCAACCGCTTTGTATTTTCCGCACTGCGCCTCCTCTGAGTCTTGGTATGCTGTTCTCTTTCCTTCTAGTTGAAGAATTTCCCCTCAGCCAGCCTTCCTGTGGTTCTGGATGATGTCTGTTCCGTCTTTTAGTTGTATTTTTGAAGTGGTTGTGCGAGGCAGCAATCTCTGGTGTTTACCTATGCCGCCATCTTGGTTCCTCTCTCTAAAAACAACTTTTTAATAGAAAATTTAAATCCCGTACAAACAAAGAGGGAGCAGTGTAACAGGACCCTCATGCATTTGTCACCTGCTTTAGCAATTTTAGTTAAAGACAGTCTTGCTTCATCTTTATGCAATGGGAAAATATCCTCATGTGAGGATAACCAAAAATAACAAAAACAAAAATCTTCCTCAGTGAGATAGATGAAAAATTATATCTAGTTGGTTTACTTTCTGTTTATTTGGTTGCTAATGAGATTGAATTTGGTCAGGTATTGGTGAGTTTATTATAGGGCTGTGAGAGGAGCCCAGGCGATGGGTGCACTGGCTGACTGACCACTGTCTTTTTCACACTTGAGTCTCCACAAAATGTACGGAGATGTAACTTTGTCTGGAGAGAGACTCCTAGGCCACTGGTGGCCAGGGAGGTTAATGGCCTCCTTTCATTCAAAACCATGTACTGAGTGTAGCAAAAATGTCAGACTGTGAGGGACAACTTGAGGACAGGTTTGTCTGTGTCAAGGAGGGAGGTTGTAGAGTCAGTTTTTAAAGATGTACAGGGTAAAAATGAAAGGCTGTAAACGTAAGACAAAGCAGGCTGGTGTGACCCAGTGAGAGCTGTCAGAAATGGGATGGCAGCTGACCGCTGGCCTGTGACTCCATAGCTCCTTTGCTCTCCTTGGGCAGCAGCAGGCGCATGACAGTGCTCTTCGGGTGCACCCAGTGTTCTCCCAGGGTTGCTGTCCCATCAAAGTGCCTGCATTCTCGGGAGTCCCGGAGAGCCATGGGAGAACCACTCGTTCTCTTTCTTACTTGCTCCTCTTCTGTGCAGGAATGTCTGGCGGTTTGTTGAGAGGGGAGGAAGGTTTCGTGCATTCATGGCCACTGTCTCTTCCTTTCTTGGGCTCTTTTTGCCCTGCTTTCCGTCAGACCGTTCTGAGCAGAACCCCCTGGCTTCTTCGCTTCTGCCTGCGGAGAGAGCTCGCTCCAGTTCATTGGGAGGGAGTTGAAAATCAGTTTGGCCTCAAGGATTTAGTCTAGCTCTTCCTTACAGCTTTATCAGTAAAGTGGGTGTTTTGATCATTGTCTCCTCTTTCTGTTACTCATTAGGTTCAGAATTGACACAAAGTTGAATCTGCAGAACTCAAAAGTGAGATAGATTACCATCAGGGGTCCATTACAACATATGTTCTTTTTTTGTTTGGTGAATTATTTGTTGGTTCATTGATTTTTGACAAATACTTAAATGTTTAACTAAAATAACTGAAGGAAGCAGCCTCTTATTGAATGGAATTTGGCTTTATTGGATTAATTTTTAAAGATTTCCTGAAAGTGGTTTATTTAATGAATTGGGCAGCTATACCTAGGTTCACCCATGGCAGGCCTGGCTCACACCTGTTAATGGCATTCCTGTCACTCAAAACTCGCCCAGTTGGGATGACCGAATATGTGGGCAACGAGGTGAAACTTCATTTTGACTCCATTAAAGCAGTCTGCTTTGTTTCAGCTGCTCCACCTCCCTTCAAGTAAACTATGTACAGGGTCTATGTTTTTATCTTATTCTAATGTCAGCGATTGGGTGGGGTCTCTTGGGACTAATAAGAACGACTAATAAGCTTGATATATTTTTGGCTTACATCAAAAATACTATAATAGAGGATATACAGACAAGTTTGAGAAGCCAATTTTTGTAGAAAGTATACAGACAAGCTTGGAAAAAATCTATTTTTATAAGCTATAAAATGCTGGGAAAATACTGCTTATTTGTTTGCTGCTTTAAGTAGAAAACCAAGTGTTTTTGTTTTTTTTTTGTCCCTAATATGTGTGTGGGGGCGGGGCTTGGATTGTCTTTTGGAGGGGGAGTGGTAATTTACATATATCATAGAAATAATTTTAATGGACAAGTAAAATGTGAAGTTCCTCCCTGCCCCCTGTCTACGATACTGGTATATATTTAACCTGAAACTATAGAAATGTGACCAGTTGACAAAATCACCAGTTACCTCTGCTTACATGATGAGTGCACAGGGCCGTCAAGAACAGGAGTGAGGACCAGAGTAGTCATATTTATTTTCATGTGCCAACTGTGTTGGACAAACCACAGTTTTATTTTAATCCCTTATCATTTTAATTTAGTGATCCGATTATTTACAATCTGTTTATTTCTAAAATTCCACTTTTTTCCTTTTTCTTTAAAAAGTCTTTAGATTTATTATACTAACAATGTTACATCTAGTAAAATCTTATGGTGTCTTTAAGAAAAATTTTTGTTTGTAGGGTGTCACCACGAGACTTCCCTTTTTTGGTTAGAATTATAGTAAATATGATCATTATGCTTGTTACTTCTATACCTACTTGACTGTGCATCTAAAAACTAGTCTGGGGTAGTAAGCAAGTATGCTGTATGTGGGATTTCTCCATTTTGTCACTGGTTACGTGAAACTGAAAACTTTCTGAATGGTAAATATTTTAATAACAAGGTTAGAAACAATCCAGTCAGCGTGATTTTGCACTTTTTATAACAAGTCTTATTACGGAAATGACATGCATTAAGTAGATTTCTTATTTTAATTAGAATCAGTCGGATTTGTCAGACGAAGAGCTGAACGATGATCTTTTACAGAGTGATAATGAAGACGACGAAAATTTCAGGTATTCTATTAACTCCTTAAAAATTGTCTTTATTTAACTAAGTTGATAAGAACTGTTTGTAATTTATAATTACAATGGAGATAATTTAATGTATTATATTTTTAACATATGATTTTATTCTAAATGGGATATTAATATAACTCTGATGTAAAAGCCATAAATAGGTACAGTTTTCTATAAGTGGAAAAGTCAGTGTTGGCCTTGCATTTAATGACCTCTGTGGGTTCTGCTGAGTGCAGGTGATAAGAAAGCTCAGCACAGGTGTGTACTGCTGTTTTGAGTAATTGCTGTATCTGATTGGGGCAATGCCCCTGGGCTCGTCATTTTGTTTGCTGCTGTTTGCTGTTGCTGTTTTTGCTTTCCTCTAGACAGTTTTTACTTGTACCTAGCTGATTACCATTGGGAATTGCCATTTTGGAAATCCCTTTGGACTGTACTTTATCTCTGGTTGACTATCTGAATGTAATTGTTTTAGTCTGTTTGGGCTGCAATAGTAAAATACTATAAACTGGGTGGCTTATAAACAACAAATTTATTTCCCACAGTTCTGGAGGCCGGGAGGTCCAAGGCCAAAGTGCTAGCTAGCCCTGTCAGGGTCTGGTGGGGACCCATTTTCTGGTTCACAGATGATGCCTTCTCACTGTGTTCTCAGGTGACAAAAGGGGAGAGAGGCTCTTTGGGGTCCCTTTTGTAAGGGCACTAACCCCATCATGAAGCTCCAGCCTTGTGACTTAAGCACCTCCCAAAGCCTTCACCTCCACACACCACCATCACAGTGGGGTTGCCTTGAAGCAGATCTTTGGAGTTTTTAAACCACATAATGTCTGTGTGGCGTATATGTTTTGTTAGGATTGGACACTTAATATGTGGGACTTAGATTTATTTGCAAAATCTTGTATTTTAAGTGTATCTTACACTTTATTAGCTTTTGTGACTTCATAGGTAGAATATGAATTTTTTTTGCAATTTTAAAACTTTAACCCTGGTATGTTGCTCAGAAATTATGAACTAATTTTTTCATGTTTGTGACTAGGATAAATTTTATTTATTTGAACATTAAAATGTAGGTTTATACACATTTTTAATATTTTTATTTTAAAATAGGAGCCTGTAATTTGCACCATGGATTTAAAAAAATAGTTTTTATAATTATGATTTTTTGTTTATAGAGTAATACTCCTATTTTTACTTTGACATCTTAGAAAACATGCCATCCTTTTCATCCTGGTAGTTAGAATGAAATACACTATTTGCGTTCAGATCTCAACTTTTGCCAGTCAAATCAGACCTGTTTTCCCAACTGGTTGATCTGATTCTCGTGGTCAAATAACCTGCAGCTGCTGATAGTCGGGGTGCTGTTCCATCAGAGGGTGCATTGCTGGCTTAGTACGCCACACAGGCTGCTGTCCTGTGAGAGTGTGTGGTGCTGGCTCAGTGCAGAATACGAGCTCTGTTTTCAGTCCTTGTTGGGCTTAGTGTGTATTTATAAGAACTGGAATAACTTTTCTCCAGTCAAGGTTTGTCCTTGTAACAGTTAATTGGTGTATGACTTAGTTTTGAGCTCCACTCTAATTGGCACCTTTCTGTATTTTTGTTCCCTCTAGTTCTCAGGGTGTCACAATTAGTCTGAAAACCACATCTGGCATGGTCACATCATATGAACTGGCTGACAACACTAATGACCAGTCTGGAGAACAGGAATCCGAGTATGAGCAAGGAGAGGACGAACTGGTTTACCACAAGTCCGATGGGTCTGAATTGTATGCTCATGAGTATCCGGAGGAAGGACAGTATGAAGGCCAGGATGCCGAGCTGACAGAAGACCACATGGAGTATGTGGAAGAGCCAGAGGAGGAGCAGCTGTACAATGACGAAGTGTTGGACATCGAGATCAATGAGCCTTTAGATGAATTCACAGTGAGTCCTTCTCCTTTGTGTGCCAAAGATAACCTGGCTGCCAGGGCACAGGTTTCTAGACTGATTTGAAATCTATTTCCCTCCCTCGGGAGGGAGGGAAATTAGACCTTATTATCACTGTCTGCCAGTTTCTTTATCTGAGCTGTGACAAAGTTTGTGTTGACAGCTTGTTTGGCTGGAGGTAATGCTCCTTTGTCATCCTGGAAGGCTGTACAGAATTGTGACCTTGAGGATTGCACCCTAAGGAAGAAAACAGCTTTGTGTGGTGCAGATACACTGTCAATTGTTAGAAGTACTTAATGCAGAGCTTTTATTCTGGCTTTAGACAAGATCTGATAAAGTTCTTCTAAGGTGAAAAGATTATTGACCTGCTAAAGACATCTTTAAGGTGCTAATATTTGAAAGTGATTGATGTCCTGTTCATTCATCCTTTCTGTAACCGAGAACTGTCCAAACAGGAATAAAGAGATGGGAGGTTAGTTTAGGAAATGTCACAGGAATTTGTTATCTGTGATCAGGAAGTGGAGACTACTGATTTTTATTTCAGAAAGATGATTTTCATAGTAGCTTTCTGTTTTTAAATTGAATATCAACAGAAAAGGTGCTAGTGAAAGGCTGCTCATGTGTCTTTAGTGATTCATCATTAAAGAGATTTGTTTTTAAAACTAGCTCTTACGAGATTATGTGGAAGGATGTGATCATAGCTGCAGTAGGATCTTGGTGTTTTCAGGACATAGGGGTTGCACTGAAATGCATGGTACATGGGGCTGCAAGGGGTGGGGGAGCCTGCAGAATTAGAGGGTGTACACAGCCTCTTGCAGGGGGAGCTCTGCCCTCTCTCCTATGATCTCATTCGGAGGAAGCTTGCATTTGAGAAAAAAGTTCAAAAATTGCTGGATTTTGGCCAATGAAATACATATCCTATATAATAAAATGGTAATATGCAAATTGACTGAAGGACAGAACGACCGGTCCCTATGACACACACTAACCACCAGGGGGCAGACGCTCAATGCAGGAGCTGCCCCCTGGTGGTCAGTGCGCTCCCACAGAGGGATCATGGCTCAGCCACAAGCCGGGCTCATGGTTGGCGAACGCTGCGGCCTGCCTCCATGGTAGTGCTAAGGATGTCCCTTCAAGGGCTCCTGGACTGAGAAAGGGCACAGGCAGGGCGGAGGATCCCCCCATACCCCCCCCCCCCCTCCAGTGCACGAATGTCATGCACCGGACCTCTAGTATGTATATAATTGCAAAAAGAGAAGTGTGAGAAGTCCTCACCTGTCTGAATTCAAGTAACGGACTCAGAGACAGAAGTATGGAAAAAATCAGACTTTTAATAAGTTCTCAAGAGCGGGTGCTTGTCCAGTTGTACAGGTACATCTGGGGCAGCAAACACAGCCTGTTTATTCAGTCCCTCCTCTGGGTCCTCATTGGCTGAGTACTATGGGGTCACCTGTTTTCCTCATATGTCGCCTAGGTCTTGCTGTCTCCCATTGGGCCATTTAAAAAAATTGGGCTGAAGCCTTTTCTCGTTGCCTCCACCTCCTCCAGTCTAGTTGAGGCAGGTACCTCGGGGGTTTCCACCATGATGCTGGCCACAGTGCTTTGTTCTTATATCCTCTTCCCTCCTCCCTATGGTCTGTTTGCCCTGGGGAAATTCAGCAACCATTTCCATCAAAAGCTGACCATGCTGGAGATGGGTCACAGAGGCCCATTTCCTACAGCTTGTTTATGTGGAATCTTAGAATATTTAGTTCCAGTCGTGATTGTGTTTGAGTATCTCAGTAGCTATTTGATTTGACTTTTTAATGCTTTCTGTTCAGTAGGTCTAGTAATGAAAACTGTTTGAAGTTTTGGTAAAGAGAGGCACGGAGAAGGCATCCTGGACACTTGCTCTTTGCTAATCCTGTAGTGGTTTGTGTTGGTCATCCTTCCCTGTGTGGACAGGTGCTCTCTGCTCTCCTGCTGTGTTGTAAGCCAGCTTAATGTGGGGCACTACTTAGAATGCTTCTTAAAAGTGAAGTCATAGTCTTTTAAAATTGTGCCTCGTTATTCCCTAGTTGTAGCATTTTATTCTTTCTACTGAATATCAGTAAAATCAGATGATTGGCAAATTGTATCTGGTCCTCTCCCTTGTAAATTCAGCAGTTGAACCAGTCTGTACTGATGTTCAAGCACTGGGGCCACAAATATTGCTAAAAGACATGAAGCATGAAGCATGGCCCTTGCCTTCTGTGCACTTAAATTTATTGGAACAAACTACAGTTGGAAAGCACTTGTTAGTGTGCCCCCCACAAGGTGTACCCTCATCGTGGCACTCCTGTAGTTGGTTAGGAAGAGTATTTCTAGTAAGTGAGTTTTCCATCCATCCTCACACTGAAATTACATAGGGCCATGGTTGTATAATGTCCATCTGAATTAGCCAGCCTTTGTGGTCTGAGATTCAGGTATCAAAAAGAAAAAAATATTGCAATTGAATATACTCACAGTACTTTTCTTTGTTAAAATTAATTTTTTTTCAGGAATTAAAACAAATACTTAGAAATTCTGAAAGTGCTATAATATTTTTACAGAGAGTTATAAACTTTAAAGATGAGGCTGAGTAGTTGGGTGTCTTTTTGTGAGTTAGTGTCAGCTCACCTCAGTACATGGAGCTTTACAGCCACGGTCATTCTTTCCTTTCTCCCATCTTTATAGTTCACAGCGGTGGAATCTGGCATTACCTCTTCTGTGTTTGATATGTGGACTTAAACTGTGAAATCCTCCCCCAGCTCTGCAGCAAGGAGGCCGTTATTGGTGTTCGTATTCATTTATTCTTCACTATTAGACTAACGAGCACAAGTAGATCGCATGCCTGTGTGTCCCATGGGGTTTAGTTTATTACCTGTGGTTGCCGGTCCTACTCTGCAGTGCTGACCATGAGCGTGGTCTGTCCATTCTAGCTTACTCTGGGAGAGCACATGAAGAATTTTGTGTATCTTGGGGTAGAATCAAAACCACGGAATTTTACATGTGAAGAGCCAGATCTGCATTGATGAACAAACAGCTCTGGGGGTCTTTCCCGCTATACTCAGAAGTGCGAAGATCCTTAGATCTTAAGGATTTTGCTGGTCCTGTTCTTGAGAGTGAATTGGTATTTGATTTAAAAACTTGTACTTAGGAACGAGTGCATATCACTCATTATGTAACAAAACATTAGAAAATTGTTGAGTAATTTATACTTTAAGCACAATCAATTTACTAGTATTTAGGGTCTTTAAAATTAACACAGTGAGATTTCATAAAACATTGCTGTGTAAGAACAGTTGCAGGATGATAATTTATGAAAAGGGTAGCAGAGTTTTGTTTGCCAGTGAGGATCCAGTACTGCAGACTGTACTTGAGTGTCTATTGGCTGGACTTTTGATTAGCATCATTTGGCCATGTTTGTTCTCCCTGACTTTGGGAATGGTGTCAGTTGGTTCCTGACGGTCTCATCTGCCTTGGAGGTTTTGGAAGTTTGTTTAATTTGGGACAGTGGATTTTCCTCTCTCTCTACTGTACAGAAGGTTGTTCAGTCTCCAGGGTCTGTTCACTCTTTGATGCCTGCCTGTAACTGTCCAGTGTTCATTTTGTTGGGGGCGGGGGGCAGGGACACTGGGAAGTCCAGTTCCCCCGGATAGGATCAGATCTTCTAGTCTCTTGCTGGCAATACTTGCAGGAGCCTTTCTTCCCCTCTCAGCTGGCTGCTTCCTACTGGGTGCCCTCAAGAGCCTCCTGCCTGCTGACATGCCCCTTACATTTCATATAGACCTGAATCATCTCTTATTCAGGGACCGGCTGATGGAGAACCTAGCCTGTGGTTCTCAGTGCAGCTCCTGTGTTGAACTGAATTGCTCTTCTTTGGTCCTCTGGTGCTGTAAGGTTTGAACCTGGTGTGACCCCAGCCCCTTACTGCTGCCGGGCTCTCCATGGGAGCAGGTGGTCACTTTCTGTTTAGGTTACTCCCCTTAGTGCTACTTTTATTAAAGCGATTCCTTGGAGTTTGGGCACTTGAAGTTTGGCGCAGAGTCCCTCTCACTGACCACAGCAGTTGGGTTCCATGCTGTGCTCTGTTCTCATTGGCACAGGGGAAGGTCATCTTCCTTTGCGTTTAGTGTTTTCTCCTCCGGCAGGTAACTGCTGTAGTAAAATGTGCTAAAACTATTAAGCATGAGTCAACAGGATGAAACATGCTGAAACCCCCTAAAAGCTATATGCGAAAAACTTTTCTCTTTTAATGGCTGTTAGGATGAAGAATTCTTGCAGGCTTATGAAGGGATATCTTTGGAGGAACATTAATGATTAGATCCAGTCATAGAGGAAAGGAACTTGTAATATGTGTGAATTTATAAGAGCATATCTCAGACATACTTAGTAAGGCTGATGATCATTTTGGGAAAAGTTGGACCTCTCCTTGCACTTTAATTATACATATATGGATCTCAGATTGAATAAAGATTTCAGTGTACGAAAACCAAATAAGCATGCATATGTACACATGCACGTACACACATCAAACTGTACATGCATTAAAAGAAAACATTTTAATAATGATGTGTTAGCTTTAGGTTTACCAGTAAATCTGAAAACTTGCTGAATATTAGAAGTTTACTTTCCACTAGTGTAGAAAGTTCCAGAGGTCATTTTAGACCTGGTGTTGTCCTCACTGGGTAATCAGTGTGCAGGCTTCATGCCAATTTGATGGTACAGCTCCTGGGCTGCTGCTCTCCCAGAGCCACATCCGGCAGCAGGCTGTGCAGGGGACTAAAGGGACTGTGTGGAATTTGCCCACGACACTTCATCACCATCTCGTAAGTTGTGCCTTAGTCACAGGGCTGTCCCTCACAGCAGGGAGAGTGGTGGATGTAGCACAAGCATGTCAGACTTGCGGCCTGCATGCAGCCCAGCCAATATAACGGTATGTAAGAAATGTTTTAATAAAAATTTTGTGACTTAAGTTTTATAATATCCTATTATAC